ACGACCGACAGGGTCTGGGCAGGAAGGGGCTGGGGAGTCCCACAGGGGCCCTAGGGGTCCTTACCCAGCGGTGGCCTCCAGGGTGCCCCGGCCTCCTCGGCCTGTCCCAAGAACTCTCCGTGTGCCACCGGGGCCCCCTGAGCATCAGGGCCCAGGCCCAGCTGCAGGGACAGGAGCAGCAGGGCGCCGACCAGGACTCCCCCTGTGGTCATGGTGGCGCGAAGGTTCCTGGGGTGGGGGAGCCCCAAGCCCTGAATTTATCCTGCCTGGGCCGGGGAGATAACCTCTTCACTGCCAGCCAAAGGCCCCTGTGTCCTCAGGTCCAGGCATCCAACCCCTTCTGCCCCCGTCCTCCTAGAGTTAAGGGCTCCCCTCACCACACCCCAGCATTCCAGACCCGTTTCCGACGCCCCTGACGCCCCCTGATTTACGAGTGTCGCACCAGCCGCCAGAGCTGAGGCCACGACAGGCAACCAAGGTCCCCACCCCACCTGCTGTCTGGAAGGAGAGGCCAGGGGCTTCGTGGGCCTCCCAGTGGAGCGCCCCACCAGGGAGGCAGCGTGCCAGGGCTCAGGACCCACTGTGGCATGTGCCAGGAAGGGTGGCTTGGCAGGTGGGAGTCAGGAATCCATCATGGCTCCCACCGGAGGATTAGGACATCATGCCCTGTCTCCGGGCCTGGCAAGCCAGCAGCAAAACAGGAAAAGGGAGAGGCCCAGGGACTGCTAAGGCTGGGACTCCTGTCCCTGGAGGCCAAGCCCAGTCCCGGGGTCCCGCAGTAACGGGGCCCGACCCTGAGTGGCAGGACTGAGGCCACCGCAAGTCCTAGGGAGACAGGGGCTCTGGTGGCTTCACAGGTAACCCCGGGGGGCCCCGGGGGAGCAGTCCTCAGTATGGAGCCTGGCATGGCGGAGCTGCCGTGAGCTGGGGCCGAGCAAGCCCAGAGGGTTCGCCTGCTACCTGCCGGACAAAGTGCTCGAGCCCACGCAAAGGAGAGCAGCAGGTCGAGGGCAAGGTGGTGGCACAGCAGTAACACAGCTGGACCCAGAGGGGCAAGGTCCCAAGGTCCCCTCCTGGGATCCCCCGGGCATACTGGTCCCAGCTGCCCAGGACTGCGGGGATAGTAGCGTGGAGACCCTATGGAGGTGCCCTACCCTCCCAGGAGAGCAGGGGTTAAAACTTGGCACCCTTGGGGCCAACAGTTGGCTTAATGGCTATGTCCCTGGACTCCCATGTAGTCAAAAGTGGTTCAAGTCCCGGACTCAGTGGCTTAAACTTACGGCTGGGCACACAGCGGGCGTGCCCAAGATCCTGAGAGGAGAATGGAGGAGAAATAGGTATTTCTCGCTCTCTGTCTGTCTTTCTGGAGAGTGCACATACCCCATAGCAAAAACCTTGTCAATTCATTCCACGGAGCTGCGCCAAGGAGCAAGGGTTACTCGCTGGTTTTTGTACTGGTGACTACTGGAAACCATGTAAACTCCATCCACAGGGGATTTGCTTTAGTGCCGTCGTTGTGTGTGTCTAGCAGTACTGACCCAGGTTAAAAACAAAAACAAAAAAACAATTGGGGGACCAGCAGATGGCATGGTGGTTACATCACTGGACTCCCAAGTAGTCGACTGTGGTTCAAATCCTAGAGCTGGCAGCTTGAAACTCACACTGGGGCCACGCATCCTGGGGTGGGGGAGCCCCGAGGATGCGTGTGTGCCCAAGATCCCGAGTGGAGAATGGAGAAGGGATTGTAGCCTGGCCATCAGCTCTGGGGGGTGATTTCTCTTTTTCTCTCTATGGCGAGCACATGCACCCTAAGGCAAAAACCTCTTTAAAAAAAAAAAAAAAAGGATAGGAACCACCCATAATAAAAACACAGACCTACGGCCAGCGGGCGTCATGGTTAAGGCACTGGACTCCCACAGAACAGGCTGCCATTTGAGTTTTGAACCTGGTGGCTTGCTTTCTCACTTTCTCTTCCTCTCTGGTGAGCACACATACCCCATAGCAAATTAAACAAACAAACAAAAAAAATGAAATTAAGTAATTCTTTACAAAAAGAAAAAACAGACCTAGGACCTGAATACAAGGTCCTCACTTCTAACCACTGGGTTACTGTCCTAGCTCCTAGCAGTGAGGCCTTAGACCCAGGTCCACACAGCGAGGACAGCAGAGGCGAGACCCCGCCAGAGCAAGGGGCGAGGGCTGCTTTCCTGCTGCCCAAAAAGGCCTGGCGGCAGGCCTGGGAAAGAGGTCGGGCTGAGGCCGGACATTCCTAGGAATTAGCCTGACACTCCAGGTATTCGAGCTGGCAGCCAAGGCCTGCGGAGTTTTCCACCTGCAGTTTCCAGCCGTGGGCAGGACAGATGCCTGACATCCTACCCCCCTGGCAGGTCACTTGCAGCAGGGTTTGAAAGTGGCACTGAGCCAGACCCCACTTCCAGCCACATGACTGTCCGAAAATCAGGAGGCATCGGCTCCAGGACACCCGGTGATGCTGGCTGAAACTGGGTGCTGCGGTGTGGATGCCCCCCTCCCCATTCACGTGCTAGGATTGCTCGTGATGGATTGAGAGTGAAGCCGACTCTGGCATTAAAAGGTGGGGCCTCTGGGGGAAATCCGAATTAAGACCTAGAGCGGGGTCCCCCATGATGGAAGCCTGGTAGGTTTATTTTTTGGAGAGGTTTCTGCTATAGGGTGCATGCACTTGCTGGAAAGACAGAGAGAGAAAACAAGAAATCACCCCTCGGGGGATGGCCATGCCACAATCCCTTCTCCTCCATTCTCCTCTCGAGATCTTGGGCACACATGCACACGCACCCGGTGTGAGTTTAAGCCACCGGGTCCAGGATCGAACCGTGGTCAGCCATGTGGGAGGCCAGTGACATAGCCATCATGCCAACTGCTGGTCCTGGAAGCCTGGTAGGTTTATAAGGAGAGGGAATAGGGACCAGCAGATGGTGTAATGGTTATGTCGCTGGACTCCCACGTAGTCGACCACAGTTCAAGCATCAGATCTAGGAGCGTCTAACAGACCAGGCGTGTGCGCACACGTGTCTAAGATTGAGAGAATGGAGAAGGGATTGTGGCGTGGCCATTCCCCCTGGCGGCTGCTGTCTCTCTCAGCCCCTCCGACAAGCACATATGCCCTATAGCAAAAAAATCTCTCTTTAAAAAATAAGAAAAAAGAGGGAGTAAGACACTGGCTAGACTCAGGGTGAGAGCTGGACCCCACACAGCTAACGGCACAGTAGTCCCGGCACGGCCAGCAGGTCGTAAGATTAAAGCAGCTGCATCGTAGATCACCAACCTGTCTGCGTTCCAGACCAGGTGGCTTGAGGACCATGCTGTCACACATGTGTGTGCCCCAAATCCAGAGGTGGAGACATGATGGCAGCATGAGTATCCCCCCTCGGGGCCGAGTTTTCACTTTCCCTGCCTCTGTCTCAGTCCAGCGTACTCTATAGCAAAAACTACAAGGGATGGGGCCAGCAGGTGGTGTGGTGGCTAAGGGTGCTGGGCTCCCACGTAGCTGACTGTGGTTCGAGTCCCAGACCTGGTGGCTGGCTCTCTCACTTGCCCTCTCCCTCTTGCTCTGTCCCTCTCTGGTCAAATTTTAAAATAAATAAAGTTAAATAACTCTTAAAAAACTAGCAGAAGGGATGGCAACATAACTACACCCCCTTCAGGAGTGCTCTCCCATCTGCCTGGCTCTCTGGTGAGCGTGTGCGTCCTCTGGCATGTTTATTTATTTTTTTTTTAAGAGAGATTTTTGCTATAAGGCACATGTTCTTGCCGGACAGAAAGCAAGAAATCGCCCCATGGAGATGGCCACGCCACAATCCCCTCATCTCCGTTCTCCTCTCAGAATCTTGGGCACACGTGCTCATGCCTGGCATGAGTTTCAAGCCGCTGGATCCGAACTATGGTGGATCACGTCGGAGTCCAGCAACGGAACCGTTCCTCCATCTGCTGGTCTCAGGCCAATTTTTCAAAGTTTTTTTTTTTTTTTTTTTTTTTTCTTTAGTGCTTTCTCTCTT